TAATTGCTTTAGTAGCATTCTAACTGAAATTAACTTCAAATAACGGTTTCCAATTATTTCTCGACGTGGTATTCATCTTCGCGCCTAAGAAAGATCGCTTGGATGAAATTGTTATTTGAAATTGCAGTCAAGGACGTCCGCGCCCATTGTTACCATGCATTCTTTTTGCCCACGAAATTCATGTCGCAACGTCACGCCACGTCATACATCAAGCACGCGCTTAAGATGAAATATAAACAAGTATAGGTTTTGGCCACCGGGTGAGCTAACTTGGCCTGTAATTTACTCTCTTGGATGTCCGGTGACCCCCATTTTTCTTTCCGCAGATCTATTCCATCCCATTTTATCCTTTTTGACAAACAACAGGAAAAATATATCCGTGAGAGGTTACAAATATTCGCTTTTTCTGCTCTCGTACGCGTGTCACAAGGTTTTCTGTATGTAGACGGGCTCGGCTAGTATTTATTCTTTTTCTAGGCCTACATGTATTCTACCTCGAGGAACGACATCAGCACCAAAAGTGTATTTTATATACTTAGTTGTGTTGAATTGAGTACGTTAACCTGATCTAAATCTCACTTATGTAGCTTTTTTATGACCGACAGTTGTAATAATAATAATAATAATAATAATAATAATAATAACAACAACAACAACATTTCTAAAGCGCCCTTTCCCAAGCTAACATTGTCCTAAAACAATGAAAACCTCTAAAAATGGATGGTCTTCAACGCGCCTTGTCTCGAAAACGAGCACGGTGACCCCCCTCTCCCCACCCCCCATTAATTTTTTTTGTTACCTTCCTTCATGTCAAGTTTTTAAAAATCTGTCCGTGGAAACATTTTGGGCACGAAAGTCCTGACATTATGTAAGGTCAACAAGCCGTGAATGGCCTTCTCTTAGTCTTCGTAAGAATTTAACTATCATTTGCATCAAACTGTTCCTCCAAAACTTTGGAAAAACGACAAAAAGGTCGCCATTTCGTAGACCACCTCCAGTCACTGCACACTAATGGATAGTGTACGATCACTCAACCAATCAGATTGCAGCATTTGCATTAATGTTTAAGTAGAATACTAATAATCACCCTTATTATAGGGCAGTAGTGGCGCCTATCAACTTACCGCTTCCATACTTTAACTTCCCGTCTGTGCTTGTGGTAGTGTACTTAATGTATGATCCCAGCTGATTTACACCATAGGGCTGAAAAAAGGAGACCAATTGTTACACATTGCACCAGTCTGCCTCGTCAGCTAGTGGCATCATTGCAGCAATGGGTTTGAAGAGAGTAATACCACTCCGCATTCATGCCGCCGGATTACAAACCTCCATAATTGTTCTTTTCTATTTTGAAAGGTGCTCGAAACCGTTTACTGAGAACATACTCTATTCAAAAGTCCTTTGAACTTCAAATAAGTGTCATGTTTTATTTCCAGCATAACCACGCCTCATGCTACCAGCTGCTGAATATTATATAGTGTTAAGATTCAAAACTACTCGACCGATCTAAATGGATGATTCTTATGTTCACCTCTGGAATTAAGCTTATTTTTCATTGCTAGAGCCTGTAAGATCGTAATAAATATGAAGATACCATTTGGCGAGATTTTCATTTTCGGGGCGACTTACGCGTGTACCAACTCAGTAATTTCTTACTGAAACACGTCCATGAAAGAAAGAATTAATCCTAGATGCAATCTTTCACACAAGCAGGTCAGTACGTCTGCCCTGATCTTTTTTGCTAGGACCAAATACGATGCCAAGCGGTGCAGAGGTGTTATACGAATATAGTATGGTATAAGATTACAACTGAGCAAATCGAAGTAAACACAACAGAAATAAGAACATCTTAGCTGCATTTATTTAACCTAACTTTCGTCAGTCCATGCAACAAGTGGCATGTATTCATTCGAGTGTCAGAGATAATCAATCGGACAACAAGCATGAAGTTTGTCTCTATAAGAACGGGACAAGTTGCTTAGCATTGATCATTTCTGACCAGAAAGGTTTCTTGCGTCTCCACTGTAATGCATCGCGTCCCCATGACTTGTTTACAACAAGGTTAATAATGTATGCCTCAAAAGGTATTAACAGTACCTACCAGGTTTTCGTTAACGCAAGACGTTAGACTCCTACCTCCTAAAACTGATTTGGAGAAAACGTTTTGTGAGCACTACATTTGTAGCCCATATGTTTGCTTATTACAACATGACACTGATCACTCTGGAGGCTCAACTACTAGTACACAACTGGATTTATTTGTAATATTTAATGGCCACCCGACTAGTTAAGAAGCTCTACATAGTTATATCAGGTACCTAGCCACCAACCTTTCTGCCAGATAAAGTCTACTATAATGTAAAGTGTACAATTTTTTTTGTTTTTGTTTTTTAAATTTTCTGTTCGTTATTCTATCGGTGTGTTTGTTCCACATTTCTCAACTTGCTTACTTTCAATTCACCTTTCACAGTGACTCAGATTACAAGAGTCTTGTAAGAA